TACTTAAGAAAATGGCTAGCAGATGTTGCAAAGCTAAAAAAATGTGTGTTTTCTCTGTTCTTTGTGAAATCTATCCAGATCCAAATTTTTTGAAAAATGTGTGTATCTTATCTGGAAAATATAGCAGGTATCCATGAGTTGTAAATACCAAACTTAAAACACTTTGAGAAACACGTAGACATAAGATCTTCATGTTTCTTCTAAAGAAAAAAACACTCTTCAGAGAGCCTTTTTTTTCCCCCATGATGGGAAAGAAAACCCCAACACATTATTAAAGAATTGCATAAAAAATTGAAACATTCCAAAATGTTATACAGACTACTTACCTTTTGAAACTTTTGTATTTATATAGCACTTTTTGAAAGCACTTTTTAAAATATTAAAGTTTAAAACAAAAAAGTTAAAATTAAACCAGAATGTCTGTAACCTAGAACTTACCAAGTGTGATATTTTTAACTGCATATTCAAAAATATGCTTCTAAGTAATAAGAGCCATCATGGAGTGATTCATAGCTTCATGCAAAAACATCCCACAACATAAATCCTGTTAACCTTTTGAAAATCCCCAAAAGCTCATTACAAAGCTGCTGAATCCTGGCGTAACAAAACCTTATATTAAAGTATTTACTGTCCTTCTAAAAAGTCCATTACTTAAAAGAAATAATACACGTGAGTCAGTTGGATTTTATCATGGTCTGGCAGACAAGAAGTGTCAGACAGTGATGTATGTCAAATTAAATTATCCTAGGAAAATCATTATAGAAATTCAGGAGAAATATTTTCTCAACTGATGCTACACAAAAAACTATTCTCCATCTGAATTAATGGCGAGTTTACAGGGTAATGAGCATTACAGTGGAAAGACTCATGAAGAAAAGATGGTACCTTTCCTATCCTATTACTTTTCCCAGTTCTTGGAAACTACATGCAACACCCTTGGAGACACTGGTTTTCAAATGGATTTGTTGCACAAAAGTGGATTAATTTTCTTCTCCAAATGAGTGACCTGTTACAAGAAATGCTGCATATTGAATTCTACTCACTGAAAATATGCATTTATGACATTTAAATTATATTCCCTAATGTAAGCACTTAATTTTATTATAATCCCTATCTTGATCTAACTTTACAGTCATTACCAAATAGAACAGTGTGAATATTTGAGAGTAGAAGCACAATGTCTGAGTCGATTATGAAACTCCAAGTAAAAGCAGAGTAAAATCCTGGCCTTATTGAAGTCAGTGAAAGAGCTGCTGCAGACTTCACTGACACCGCTATTACATTCTTTACATTCGATCTTCATCTGCCATGAAGGTGAAATTAATGACATTTAGTATATTCTACAAATACTATTTTCTGGTTTTTAGAACCCATTCTTGAATTCCTTCTTCAGTTCTCACTCCAGTAAATGAAGTAAGATAAAGATCTGTCTCAGGGCTTGTCCTGCATTTTGGGAGAAAATGTACAGAAGGAAGCCTTCAGTGATAGGTTATTGCCCGTGAATAATGACTATCGCCAGTGAATACTGATGCTAAAGCCAGAAGCTTCACTACAGTATTTAAACAGCAAGAATTTTTTAATGAACTATGTTACATACTTATTTATCTGAAAGCATTATCTTCTCAATGAGAAAATAAGACTTTCCAACTTTTTAACTTTCCTATTCTCTTGTGCTAATGTATGGCAGAAAGACCTGCAGTTATTGCTAAGATAGTACTAATTTTTAAAATGCTTATAATTTTTTTTTCCAGGTATTACTCTGTGGACAGTAATTGCTGGTGCCAACTGTAAAGCTGCTGATGAACTATGGGGAAGCATCCAATCAGTCATTTTTCACTTATTTCTATTAAAAAAACCCCCAAACATATTTTACTTATATTCCCTAAATGCATTTTTGATGTTGTTCTTTAAAAGCATCAGATCTGCTGCAGCATTTATCATAAAAGACAATGAACGTTTTAAAAAAACCACATTTCAAAACAGGAAAGCTAACCTTTCAGATTTGCTTTGTTACATTTATGTGTGTGATCACTCATCTGAAAAGTATTTATTTTAGGGATGTACCAAGCTTCAGTTTATGAGAACAGAATGGGTCTGTCTCAGACTTAGTACTCAACTGCAAGTCATATTATGTCCAGCTCTCCATCTCCCCAGAAGCATCCCTTTATCTCAATGTTTGGTCATCATCTGAGTTATGTGTACGTAAAACTGGTTAGGCAAGTTTTGACACTTAGAACTGGCATAGTCGCAAAAGCATACTGACAAGCACAGTGTTTACAAAACCTGTAGGTCCAGCTTCTCACTTGTCAGCTTCTAATGTCATCGAGTACCCAATATTAGCTGTTCATTAACTCCACCTGTATTGCTGTGTGAAGTCTATTTTGACTGCATTCTAAGAAAAAGGAAGAGTAGTTTGGACTTCATTAACTCAACATTTGCCTTTCAGTTTATCTTTTTGCATGCAAAAATTGTACTTGGTGCATTCATTTTGCTTTTTATTTTTCATTTTATTCACTTTTAATAAGGGCTTCCACACTTCTGCAATCCTTCCATGTTACCCGTAACTTTGAAGTTCCCAAAATAATTTCAGAAAACTTGAACTCTCTCTTTATTAAAAGCTATAAGCACATACAATTATAGATGTGTGCCATAAAACAATCACACCAGTATATGCTTTTAAAGCTGAGATGTCAAAATATTCAAAATATTTTTCCTATGGCAACTGCAAAATGTAGTAAAGCCATTGGCCTTTACTACCAAAGGCCAAATTCTACAATCTTCTGTAAGAAAAACTTCTCTAGACTCCACTAGAAACTGGAGGTTTTGGGGCAGTGCCTACAAGACGAAAACTCTTACTGCAGTAAAATTGTAACATATGGGCAGAGAAATTATCTATCAAAAAATCAGAATAATACAGCCTATTATTTTAGGCAACTGGTTTGGTTTTGGATTAGATTCCGCTCTTGTATCCCAGTGACTCAGTAACAGAATCTAAGCTTTCATTTTCATTTATTAGGAAAGGAGTCCTGCCTGGCTCTGGATGGTGGTATTTATGCAGTTCCTATAGAGTTTGAAAGATTTTTATTTCATCCATGCTTCTTTTCACGTTCACACTCATGTAGGGAATTTCATCCCTAGAATGAGAAACAGAAAATATAAACTGCTCATAATGAAAAGCGCTGGACCATCTACAGCTGTACCAACAGTCATCTTCTGCAACGAACCTTTTTTTTTTCACCTGGCGACCATTTTCTTTGCACGTATTTGTTCTGCTCACTTCTTTCAAAAGAAATGCAGAAAATGCAGGTCCTCCCAATTAGGCTTTGTGTTTCACTGATCCTAGCAGAGCTGCCCTGCCAGGGGGAAGTCCAGTGAGACAGGTCTGTTTAGAGTGCTAGTGGGAATTCTCCACAAAACCCCCCTCCATAGGAAGCTACACCCCGAACAGATAAGGTGAGGGTAAAGTGGGTACACTGCATTTCCTTCCCCATCTCTTGCCATCACATAGTACAAGCTACTAATTGCTCCTGCAAAACCACAGCAAAATCAAACCCTGTGGTAAAAGGTCAAAAACCAGAGTTTAACATGAGACAGAAGAGAGCACAACAGAGAGCTGGAAAGACCGAGTTACATGTCAATGCTTTAAATTCTTCCAAAACAGGTATTTGCTAAATGAAATTATCATGCCTAGAACGCCTGCAGAAGAATGCAGAAACACTCTAGGGGGCCCTGCCAATGTAGCCTAAGGATACTAACTCCTTCCTGATCCTCATGTGGTGGTGATGCTAACCCAGAGCCTGACACACCAACCAGGGGTCAAATATTCCACTTTGTTCCACGAAAAGCCTTGATGCCCTCTACCTCCATCTTACATGCATCTGTGCCTAACCTCTGCTTCAACGGACAGCAAAGAAACCGTAAAAACAGAAGTCAAATGACACATCTTTGCATGTTATTAAATAATACATTTTACTATGAGAGAATGCATTTCAATAATACTCTGTTTCTCCCCATGAATTGTACTCTCTACCTCCTATCTAGGACCCTGAACTTAAAAGATCAGTTTTGCTGGTGAATGCAACTGTTACCCCTTGCTGGCCAACACAAAAAGATGGGAGCCTTCTAGAGGAAAGCAAAGGTTATTTGATCTGCCCAGTCAGTAAAAATAAACTGTCCCTTGAGCATAACACCAGGAATTCAGTCTTGTTTGTTACGATTTTCCCTATGTAGCACATGCTGCATTTTACTAACAGGCTTTTAAAAGGTTCCATTTATGGCATTTGGCTCTTGAAATATGCATTGACAAACAGCATCAGCAGAACATTTTCTTTTCTTATGCAATTTGATGAATACTAAAACAAATTCTGGAAGTCTGAAATTCTCTGGCTTTCTATACAACCTCCACCTAATAAGTACATCTTTTTAGACATCCTGTTCTGGGATTAGAATATATGGGGGGTTTGACACAGCTAATTTAGGTATAGCCTTCAAATGCTTGCAACTGGAAAGGATAAGATGGTTAAGCGGGCTTAAAATGGTTAATGGTCATTTCAACTCTGGATCTTCAGCCCACCTGCAGACTTAGTCAATTATTATCTGAAGAGTACTTGGTAATCTATGTAAAATGAATTTGGCTGCCTCACTTTGAACCTCAGGGGATATGTCCATGTTACAAAATAACTTAGGCCAACATACTCAGCAGAAACTGTCACTGTACTGGCAGTTTCAGCAGAAATGCTGAAGTTGGAATAGGCGTTTAGAACAAAACACAACTTTGTTTCTGAAGGAAAACCAAGGAGGATAAGAGTTTCAGCGGAAAACTGTTGGGGAAGATTACTATGTGCCCCACATCTCTACGCTCTGGGTAGAGGAAAAATTTCAATTCCCAGCACCAATGCATTCAGAACTTGTTAAAGCAGTATTTTGCAGTGAACATTTAATAATAATCACTCCAGCAAAGCAAGAAATATTGCATAGATGCTCTTGTGAAATATGATTACCTGACATACTGCTGGGAGTTATGGATATGTAATCATTCTTGTTCTTCTTCCGTCACCAATGTCACCTGCCAAAAAAAGGAAAAAAAACCCCATGTAATACGTCCATAAATGCAAATCTGCAGAATACCATTAACATTTAAACAGGATGGAACATTTTGGATCTTGAATACCACAATCCATGTTTGATGGCTTAATACATTAAATTCAATGCACCTTGCTGAACTGCATGAGGCAATGAATGCAAGTCAGGTCCAAAACCTGGTGGACTGGAGGAGCTGTGGGTAACAGGGATTTGGAAGCAAGGTCAAAAAGCTGGCGGCTACTGACGCAGGAAAAAAAAAGCTTCTGCCCACTTCATGGAACACTTTCCCTTAATTTTTTGCAGAAGTTCCTTTAGGTCTAATATGTAACTTTAGGAGCTAATTGTTTTTTACTTTACAGGTTCTAATGATATATGCCCATCACTCTCAAGTTCAGTAAAAAGAGAAGATTCAAAGGAACTAGAAATTCTCTGTCTACAGTTACATTGATTCTTCTTCAATCATTTGAAACTCAGAAGTCTATCAACTTTTACAAAGTTTGGAGATGTAAATAGTAATTTTAATCATTTGGTAGAAAACTAATTTATATGCACTTATTACTTTAAGTTTTGAACAATGGCATTCTCTATTTTATTAGGGAGATAACTGCAGCTGTGAGGAACTGGATTTGGCATCCTAAAGTCGTGGTTTTCATATTTGGATTGCCTCCCCCGTTCATATGTCCATACATACACACTGACACATTAACTATACTCCTTTTCTGTTTGGTAGCCAAGACCAAAGCCCTGCAAGCTAATTTTGTGTCCGGAGAGAAAGTCACCGACACCAGTTACGGCATCATCCTTCAGCAATGTCTGTATTTATACTAGCCGTAACGTTTTTCAAACAGAGGGATCACAGGCAGCATGCCCTCGTTCAGCCATCCCAGCCCAAACCATGGTGCCCAGCTGGATGATCCTGGCTCGCTCGCTCCCTAGTTTAAGCACCAACAATCCAATCCGAGCGGCGACAATCCTAAAGGCATTACTCCAGAACAGAGACAAGATCTTACTAGAATTTTTAAATAAGAAATCCCAGGCCTACAACTGACCCCACTAATGCCAGTGGAAAACTAGCCTGGGATCAGTCATGCTGTCTTGATCACTAGGAAACATGTATCTTTTAATGTTAGCATACAAGTGACGTTTTATAGGGGAAGTACAACCTCTCTTACATTGTCCTGATTGACATTTTATGTTAAGAAACTGTCCCTTGGGCTTTACTTTGTTAATGCACTTTTGGGTTTTATTTCTCTCCATCCGTTCAGCGCCACAGCTCTGTCTGTACTTCCTCTCAGCCAGTCTCCTCACACGGGGAGCGTTTCCCTTCCTCGTCCTTGAAATAAATATCCTTCACCAACAGCAGGCTAAAAGGACATCGAGTGCATCCGCCCTATTTAGGCACAGACAACGCCACTAGAATGAGAAAGCAGGTGAACTGCAGCAATCGCATGTACCGCGTAATTAATGTATCTGGGTCGTCGTTTCACCTAAGCTCATCAACCCTCCCAGCACTACACCGGCGAGGGCTGAAAACCCTCCCGGGAGCTCCGTCGCCCGAGGCTCTGCAATCCCCCTCCAAAGGCTCCACAAGATGGCGGCGGGAC